AGCATTGACTCTTGGATCCCGCCTTTCCAGCTATCGGTTGTTTACAGCAATGACTCCTGTCCCATTTCCCTATCATACCTAGTTTTAAAAGTATGAATAGCCTAACCACTCAAATGTCAATCAATCAATTGATTTGTATGTGTGTATGTGTGTGTGTGTATGTGTATGTGTGTGTGTATGTGTGTGTGTATGTGTGTGTGTGTGTGTGTGTGTGTGTGTGTGTGTGTGTGTGTATGTATGTGTGTGTGTGTGTGTGTGTGTGTGTGTGTGTGTGTGTGTGTGTGTGTGTGTATGTGTGTGTGTATGTGTGTGTGTATGTGTGTGTGTATGTGTGTGTGTATGTGTGTGTGTGTGTGTGTGTGTGTGTGTGTGTGTGTGTGTGTGTGTGTGTGTGTGTGTGTGTGTGTGTGTGTATGTGTGTGTGTGTGTATGTGTGTGTGTATGTGTGTGTGTGTGTGTGTGTGTGTGTGTGTGTGTGTGTTTACTAGTTGTGTTTTTACGGGGGTTGAGCTTTGCTCTTTCGGCCCGCCTCTCAACTGTCAATCAACTGTTTACTAACTACTATTTTTTTTTTTCCCCACATCACACACACACACACACCCCAGGAAGCAGCCCGTGACAGCTGACTAACTCCCAGGTACCTATTTACTGCTAGGTAACAGGGGCATTCAGGGTGAAAGAAACTTTGCCCATTTGTTTCTGCCTCGTGCGGGAATCGAACCCGCGCCACAGAATTACGAATCCTGCGCGCTATCCACCAATGTGTGTGTGTGTGTATATGTGTGTGTGTGTGTGTGTGTGTGTGTGTGTGTGTGTGTGTGTGTGTGTGTGTGTGTGTGTGTGTGTGTGTGTGTGTGTGTGTGTGTGTGTGTGTGTGTGTGTGTGTGTGTGTGTGTGTGTGTGTGTGTGTGTGTGTGTGTGTGTGTGTGTGTATCAATATTTTATTGTTTGTGCTTTTTCAGAGCTAATAAAGGGTATTAAGCTGCTTAAAATTCACTTTAAACTACTTTAGGCTAAACTAAGTTTTGTTATGTTAGGCTTTGTTACCTAAACATCCTTTTTTAAAAAGTAGTTCGATACTAAAAATAAAAACAAAAATAATAGCATTGAAATTTCGTATATCATGACTACGTGACTGTGTGTGTGAAGGTTTAAGGTGCCGGTGAACGACAAAGATTTGTTTATTAAAATATTTAGGTACAAGTTCATAAATGGAACTGGCCTAGATTATATGAAGAGGGTAAATATTAATAGGGGTAAATAGTGGTACTAAAAAATCCCTATCTCTCAGGATGTTAGTCGTAGAGGGCCATGTGATCAGTAGTCTGCACTGGCAAACTCAGGATGCATTATGAGGATATTATCAGAACACGAGTTAATAAAGTGATTGTAAAGCTCCAGCTGCCTCATCATACCGGCAGGTCTGAAGGGTCTAATGACTGGGCATTTAGTAATGTAGTGCGGGAGATCATGCCGCAGTTCCTGCTCACAGAGTTTGCACCTGGAGTGCTCAGGATTGGGAGATCCGTCACCTGCAGCCACCTGCCACAGGTAACGGTAACCCAACCTGATCCTGGCAACCACTGTGTCGCACAGTCTGGTCCACGTTTTGTGCTGCCCATAAACGTAGGTTTCGGATCTGAACAAACCATAGCTATTTACACTGGTGCTATCAGACCTGAGTGTTTGGAACAATATAGTCTTGACCACAGAGATGGGGATACCTAGGTCTAACTCAACTTCATCTTTGTTACACGCTAATTTGGCTGCAATGTCTGTGTCATTATGATGGGTTTATATTCATGTGTGATTCGAAACCCTTTACTCTGTGCAACGATCTCGTCATTTATAATTGCTAGTATGAGGTTCTTGCTGTCGATCGTGCAGTTATAAATTTTTAATTGCTTGGAGAGCAGACTTTGAATTGCAAAATATTATTCCTCCTCCAATGTTTTTTAATGTACTGGTAGCTAATTGTAGTGCCGCTAGTTCTGCTTGTGTGGAGGTCAGCCAGTTGTTTAGCCTGACACTGACAGTCTTTGTGCAAATATTATTTCTATAAAACCTACATGCCGCTGCAGTCCGTCCAGTAGAGGATTGGACTGAGCCGTCGGTGTAGACACAGTGCTCGTGAGAGCTGAAATCCTCGATGGAGGAGGCAATTGTTTTAAGTGTGACAGCTTTGAGAAGAGCAAGATTCTCATTACCTTTCTTGGTGACAGGTGTGTATGATACTTGAATGGTGGGGTACAGATAAAAAGGAATATCGGAGACAGGAAGATTACATTTAAAAGGAATGTTCAGTTTACTGAGATTGTAGACATTTTTAATAAGCGTTCATCATAAAAGGAGTGAGTTAGTATGTTGGCACCAGTCAATAGGGTGTTAACAGCACTAAATAATTTGTCTCTGAACAATGCAGGAGATGTAAGGTCTCTCATGACTTAATGACAGAAGGTAGTGTTGACTTCCATGATTCTCTCTAGTATGGTTGGAAGCTTCAGTTCTTCCCTCATGCTGACGATTCTTGTGCATCTTGGGGCACCAAGAATTATCCTCGTGGCTACATTCTGCATTATTTCTAGTAGGTTCAACCGTGTGCACGTTAAACTCTACGGACAACTACACCCACATTTAAGTATGAATCTTGATCTATTTAAATAAAAATGGAAATGTTCGTCTGTGCATAACCGCTAATCTCCGAAAGTTCTTCACCGATTACTTTGAAATTTTCACACAACGTTTCATTCGCATCCGAGTAGGTTTTTATATACATACTATATAGATGTGACGGCTGTGACGGTAAAAAAAAACATGCTTTTCCTGAAAAACTGTGTTTTTCATGTGAGGGAAATCTTCGAAACCTCTTTACCGATTGCTTTGAAATTTTGACACAACGTTGCATTCGAATAGACGCTTCTTTTTTATATATCTACTGTATAGATGCCTCACCTGTGACAGGAAAAACATGTTTTTTTTTAAACAGCGCCATCTGTTGAACGTAAGAACAACACACGCTATAATCTCCGTAAGTTCTTCACCGATTGCTTTGCAATCTGTGAAGAATTATTTTGTGTGACATTGTGTTAGAATTGAGCTGTGTTGTTTACCATACCGTTCATTTTGTAAGTATAAGTATAGATGCCACACCTGTGACAGGTAAAACTAGGCTTTTCTTGAAAAACAGCGCCATCTGTTGCATGTAAGAGCAACACACATGCTATACTAAATATGTTACAATTACATTTCAATGTTTCTGATTGCATTGATAATTTGAATTTTCATAGATTTTGATTTAATTTCATTTTTATTTAATTATTTTGTGTGAATTGCGTTGGAATTGTGCTGTGTTGTTTACCAAACCGTTCACTTCGCGAGTATAGTTTATTTTTTATTTTTTCATATTTTCCTTTCAATTTTACCTGTTTTTCTTATATTTCAGTGATGGGAACTTCAGATCACTTGATGTTCCCAATTTTCTGATGGGAACATCAGACCATTTGGGAAGGCATCGGACGAGGGAGTGGGGAATGGTGGGGATGACGAGGGGACGGAAGTGAGAGATGGTGGGGAGGACGAGGGGGACAAGGGAGGGGGGTAATGGTGGGGAAGGATGAGGGGACGGGGGAGTTTGGGATGGTGGGGACGAGGGGATGGGGGAATGGAGAATGGTGGGGAGGACAAAGGGACAGGAGAGTGGGGCATGGTGGGAAAAAAGAGGGGGTGGTGGAGTGGGGAATGGTTTGGAGGACGAGGGGGTGAGGGGGGGGGGAATGGTGGGGAGGACTGGGGGACACGGAAGGTTGCTGTTGCTCAACAACGCACATGCGTTACTGAGCCACAGCAACGCGTGGCCGGGTACTGCTAGTAAATAATAATTCGTTTCGTCAGAAACTGGCAGCCTATGAATATAGAAAGCCTATGAATATATGCCAATAAATATATATATAAATATATATATAAATATATATATATATATATAATATATATATATATATATATATATATATATATATATATATATATATATATATATATATATATATATATATATATATATATATATATAGGTAGGTAGGAGAGAGACGGGGTGAGGGAAGGGGTGATTTCAGTGTTGCTTGTTAAGATTTCTCTGGTGTTGGTCTAGTTGTGAGAAGAGATTATATGTTCCTTGATGGAGCCAAGGAACCAGGAACAGGTGAGCCAAACAACAGCCCTGTTGTGCATTGTTAATCGCCTAGAAAGAGACGCTGTTGTCTTGCCTATATACTAAGTTCTTTGGGGCTGACAGTCCCCAAGTGGGCATGTGAAGGCATAGACGACGTTGGTTTCTTTCAAGGCGTTCTGTTTGGTGTCTTTAGAGTTCTTCATGAGTAGGTTGGCCGTTTTCTTGTTTTTATAGTAAATTGTCAATTGTATCTTCTGATTTTTGTCTGTGGGGATAACGTTCCTATTAATAATATCTTTCAGGACACTTTCATCCGTTTTATAAGCCGTCGAAAAGAAGTTCCTGTAAAACAGTCCAATAGGGGGTACAGGAGTTGTGTTAGTTGGCTCTTCAGAGGTTACATGGCGTTTCACCTCTCTTTTTACAACGTCTTCAACATAACCGTTAGAGAAGCCATTGTTGACTAGAACCTGCCTTACCCTACAGTGTTCTTCATCGACCTGCTTCCAACCAGAGCTGTGAGAGCCCGGTCGACGTAAGCGTTGACAACACTCCTCTTGTACCTTCCTGGGCAGTTACTATTGGCATTAAAGTACATTCCTATGTTTGTTTCCTTAGTGTGGGAAACACTACATTACACAAACTACAACATAAGACAACGGACAGCAGCAGCAGCAGCAACAACAACAACAACAACAACAACAACAACAACAACAACAAGAAGCCTGGCCAGGGAAGCCTCTGCTCTCTCAGCAGACATCCGGCTCATCGTCCTGGGAATGAAATGCGATTATCTTAATTGGAGATGTCCGGGGAATTTATTTCCTAGCAGATCAGGGAGCAAATTCCGCACCACCCAGCCCTCTGGTCACCGCTGCTGCAGTGCCCAGCCCTCGGTCACCGCTGCTGCAGTGTCCAGCCCTCGGTCACCGCTGCTGCAGTGTCCAGCCCTCGGTCACCGCTGCTGCAGTGTCCAGCCCTCTAGTCACCGCTGCTGCAGTGTCCAGCCCTCTGGTCACCGCTGCTGCAGTGTCCAGCCCTCGGTCACCGCTGCTGCAGTGTCCAGCCCTCTAGTCACCGCTGCTGCAGTGTCCAGCCCTCTGGTCACCGCTGCTGCAGTGTCCAGCCCTCTGGTCACCGCTGCTGCAGTGCCCAGCCCTCGGTCACCGCTGCTGCAGTGTCCAGCCCTCGGTCACCGCTGCTGCAGTGTCCAGCCCTCTAGTCACCGCTGCTGCAGTGCCCAGCCCTCGGTCACCGCTGCTGCAGTGTCCTGCCCTCGGTCACCGCTGCTGCAGTGTCCAGCCCTCTAGTCACCGCTGCTGCAGTGTCCAGCCCTCTGGTCACCGCTGCTGCAGTGTCCAGCCCTCTGGTCACCGCTGCTGCAGTGTCCAGCCCTCTGGTCACCGCTGCTGCAGTGTCCAGCCCTCTGGTCACCGCTGCTGCAGTGTCCAGCCCTCTGGTCACCGCTGCTGCAGTGTCCAGCCCTCGGTCACCGCCTGCAGTGTCCAGTCACCGCTGCTGCAGTGTCCAGCCCTCTACCGTCTGCAGTGTCCGCCCTCTAGTCACCGCTGCTGCAGTGTCCAGCCCTCTGGTCACCGCTGCTGCAGTGTCCAGCCCTCTGGTCACCGCTGCTGCAGTGTCCAGCCCTCTGGTCACCGCTGCTGCAGTGTCCAGCCCTCTGGTCACCGCTGCTGCAGTGTCCAGCCCTCTGGTCACCGCTGCTGCAGTGTCCAGCCCTCTGGTCACCGCTGTTGCAGTGCCCAGGCCTCTGGTCACCGCTGCTGCAGTGTCCAGCCCTCTGGTCACCGCTGTTGCAGTGCCCAGCCCTCTGGTCACCGCTGCTGCAGTGACCAGTCTCTAGTAACAATCCAGCTCTACTCGACGGCTCTGCCTGCTGAGCCACGGGGAATTTTCCATCAAAGGATAAAATTCATGAATTTTAATGCGGCTCAGAAGGAGGAGGGACGTGGTGACCTCCGAGGAGAGGGCCTCAAGCTACCGTCTTATCTTCCAGGGAGCAAGCTGGCAGCTACGGTCCAGGGGGCAAGTTGGCGGCTACGGTCCAGGGAGCAAGTTGGCGGCTACGGTCCAGGGAGCAAGTTGGCGGCTACGGTCCAGGGAGCAAGTTGGCGGCTACGGTCCAGGGAGCAAGCTGGCGGTTACGGTCCAGGGGGCAAGTTGGCGGCTACGGTCCAGGGAGCAAGTTGGCGGCTACGGTCCAGGGAGCAAGTTGGCGGCTACGGTCCAGGGGGCAAGTTGGCGGCTACGGTCCAGGGAGCAAGTTGGCGGCTACGGTCCAGGGGGCAAGTTGGCGGCTACGGTCCAGGGAGCAAGTTGGCGGCTACGGTCCAGGGGGCAAGCTGGCGGCTACGGTCCAGGGAGCAAGTTGGCGGCTACGGTCCAGGGAGCAAGTTGGCGGCTACGGTCCAGGGAGCAAGTTGGCGGCTACGGTCCAGGGAGCAAGTTGGCGGTTACGGTCCAGGGAGCAAGTTGGCGGCTACGGTCCAGGGGGCAAGTTGGCGGCTACGGTCCAGGGAGCAAGTTGGCGGCTACGGTCCAGGGAGCAAGTTGGCGGCTACGGTCCAGGGAGCAAGCTGGCGGCTACGGTCCAGGGGGCAAGTTGGCGGCTACGGTCCAGGGAGCAAGTTGGCGGCTACGGTCCAGGGAGCAAGCTGGCGGCTACGGTCCAGGGAGCAAGCTGCCGTCTACGGTCCAGGGAGCAAGTTGGCGGCTACGGTCCAGGGAGCAAGTTGGCGGCTACGGTCCAGGGAGCAAGCTGGCGGCTACGGTCCAGGGAGCAAGTTGGCGGCTACGGTCCAGGGAGCAAGTTGGCGGCTACGGTCCAGGGAGCAAGCTGGCGGCTACGGTCCAGGGAGCAAGCTACCGTCTACGGTCCAGGGAGCAAGTTGGCGGCTACGGTCCAGGGAGCAAGCTGCCGTCTACGGTCCAGGGAGCAAGTTGGCGGCTACGGTCCAGGGAGCAAGTTGGCGGCTACGGTCCAGGGAGCAAGCTGGCGGCTACGGTCCAGGGGGCAAGTTGGCGGCTACGGTCCAGGGAGCAAGCTGGCGGCTACGGTCCAGGGAGCAAGCTGGCGGCTACGGTCCAGGGAGCAAGTTGGCGGCTACGGTCCAGGGAGCAAGTTGGCGGCTACGGTCCAGGGAGCAAGCTACCGTCTACGGTCCAGGGGGCGGCGGTGCTGGCCAGTTTATCACTGGGAAAATATATACTTCTTAAGACGCCGTGAATCAAACTCTTGTCAATATTTCCAAGAAGATCAAAGATATATCTTCCTGAATATATTATTTACTTGCCGTTTCCTAATAAGTAAATCAATTATTTTGCTATTAAATTTTTTTAGACGATTATATCAATGGAAATTATTTTTCCCCACATAAATTTGTCAGTCATTGATATGTGCACAGGAGGACATAATTGTCATTGATATGTGCACAGGAGGACATAATTGTCATTGATATGTGCACAGGAGGACATAATTGTCATTGATATGTGCACAGGAGGACATAATTGTCATTGATATGTGCACAGGAGGACATAATTGTCATTGATATGTGCACAGGAGGACATAATTGGCATTGATATGTGCTCAGGAGGACATAATTGTCATTGATATGTGCACAGGAGGACATAATTGTCATTGATATGTGCTCAGGACATAATTGTCATTGATATGTGCTCAGGAGGACATAATTGTCATTGATATGTGCACAGGAGGACATAATTGTCATTGATATGTGCTCAGGAGGACATAATTGTCATTGATATGTGCTCAGGAGGACATAATTGTCATTGATATGTGCTCAGGAGGACATAATTGTCATTGATATGTGCTCAGGAGGACATAATTGTCATTGATATGTGCACAGGAGGACATAATTGTCATTGATATGTGCTCAGGAGGACATAATTGTCATTGATATGTGCACAGGAGGACATAATTGTCATTGATATGTGCACAGGAGGACATAATTGTCATTGATATGTGCTCAGGAGGACATAATTGTCATTGATATGTGCTCAGGAGGACATAATTGTCATTGATATGTGCACAGGAGGACATAATTGTCATTGATATGTGCTCAGGAGGACATAATTGTCATTGATATGTGCTCAGGAGGACATAATTGTCATTGATATGTGCACAGGAGGACATAATTGTCATTGATATGTGCACAGGAGGACATAATTGTCATTGATATGTGCTCAGGAGGACATAATTGTCATTGATATGTGCTCAGGAGGACATAATTGTCATTGATATGTGCACAGGAGGACATAATTGTCATTGATATGTGCTCAGGAGGACATAATTGTCATTGATATGTGCACAGGAGGACATAATTGTCATTGATATGTGCTCAGGAGGACATAATTGTCATTGATATGTGCTCAGGAGGACATAATTGTCATTGATATGTGCTCAGGAGGACATAATTGTCATTGATATGTGCTCAGGAGGACATAATTGTCATTGATATGTGCTCAGGAGGACATAATTGTCATTGATATGTGCTCAGGAGGACATAATTGTCATTGATATGTGCTCAGGAGGACATAATTGTCATTGATATGTGCTCAGGAGGACATAATTAAAGATTCCTAAAGAGAATTCTGCTTTAATTTGAAATAAATAATGGTAGTATTTTTGGGCAAATAAAATAATCATAAAATAAGAGATTGACGAAGAATGAGCAAGTCAGAGCACCACCACAGCCCTACACACCACAGTAACACCACCACACAGCCCTACACACCACAGTAACACCACCACACAGCCCTACACACCACAGTAACACCATCACACAGCCCTACACACCACAGTAACACCACCACACAGCCCTACACACCACAGTAACACCACCACACAGCCCTACACACCACAGTAACACCACCACACAGCCCTACACACCACAGTAACACCACCACACAGCCCTACACACCACAGTAACACCACCACACAGCCCTACACACCACAGTAACACCACCACACAGCCCTACACACCCACAGTAACACCACCACACAGCTACCAGTAGCCCTACACACCACAGTAACACCACCACACAGCCCTACACACCACAGTAACACCACCACACAGCCCTACACACCACAGTAACACCACCACACAGCCCTACACACCACAGTAACACCACCACACAGCCCTACACACCACAGTAACACCACCACACAGCCCTACACACCACAGTAACACCACCACACAGCCCTACACACCACAGTAACACCATCACACAGCCCTACACACCACAGTAACACCATCACACAGCCCTACACACCACAGTAACACCACCACACAGCCCTACACACCACAGTAACACCATCACACAGCCCTACACACCACAGTAACACCATCACACAGCCCTACACACACCAGTAACACCACCACACAGCCCTACACACCACAGTAACACCATCACACAGCCCTACACACCACAGTAACACCATCACACAGCCCTACACACCACAGTAACACCACCACACAGTCCTACACACCACAGTAACACCACCACACAGCCCTACACACCCCAGTAACACCACCACACAGCCCTACACACCACAGTAACACCACCACACAGCCCTAGACACCCCAGTAACACCACCACACAGCCCTACACACCACAGTAACACCACCACACAGCCCTACACACCCCAGTAACACCACCACACAGCCCTACACACCACAGTAACACCACCACACAGCCCTAGACACCCCAGTAACACCACCACACAGCCCTACACACCACAGTAACACCACCACACAGCCCTAGACACCCCAGTAACACCACCACACAGCCCTACACACCACAGTAACACCACCACACAGCCCTACACACCACCAGTAACACCACCACACTGCCCTACACACCCCAGTAACACCACCACACAGCCCTACACACACCAGTAACACCACCACACAGCCCTAGACACCACAGTAACAGCACCACACAGCCCTACACACCACAGTAACACCACCACACAGCCCTACACACACCAGTAACACCACCACACAGCCCTACACACCCTAGTAACACCACCACACAGCCCCAGTACACCCCACACAGCACCACCACAAAGCCCACACACTACCAGTAACACCACCACACAGCCCTAGTACACCCCAGTAACACCACCACACAGCCCTACACACCACAGTAACACCACCACACAGCCCTACACACCACAGTAACACCACCACACAGCCCTACACACCACAGTAACACCATCACACAGCCCTACACACCACAGTAACACCAGTACACAGCCCTACACACAGTACAGTACACACCACACAGTACACACCACAGTAACACCACACACAGCCCTACACACCACAGTAACACCATCACACAGCCCTACACACACACCAGTAACACCACCACACAGCCCTACACACCACAGTAACACCACCACACAGCCCTACACACCACACAGCTACCAGTACAGCCCTACACACCAGTAACACACAGCCCAGTACACACCACAGTAACACCACCACACAGCCCTACACACCACAGTAACACCACCACACAGCCCTACACACCCCAGTAACACCACCAGCCCTACAGCCCTACACACCCAGTACACCCCCACACAGCTACCAGTACCCCAGTAACACCACCACACAGCCCTACACACCCCAGTAACACCACCACAGCCCTACACACCACAGTAACACCACCACACAGCTACCAGTACACCACCCAGCCCTACACCTACCACCACCCCACACACACCTACCAGTAACACCACCACACAGCCCTAGTACACCCCACACAGCCACCACACAGCCCTACACACCTACAGTAACACCACCACACAGCCCTAGACACCCCAGTAACACCACCACACAGCCCTACACACCACAGTAACACCACCACACAGCCCTAGTACACCACAGTAACAGCTACCAGTACACCCCCCCACACACCACAGTAACACCACCACACAGCCCTAGTACACCACAGTAACACCTACCAGTACAGCCCTACACAGCACCAGTACACCACACACAGCCCTACCACCCCAGTAACACCACCACACAGCTACCAGTAACCACCACACAGCCCTAGTACACCACAGTAACACCACCACACAGCCCTACACACCCCAGTAACACCACCACACAGCCCTACACACCCACAGTAACACCACCACACAGCCCTAGTACACCCACACAGTAACACCAGTACACCCCACACAGCCCTACACACCACAGTAACACCACCACACAGCCCTAGTACACCCCAGTAACACCACCACACAGCCCTACACACCACAGTAACACCACCACACAGCCCTACACACCCCAGTAACCCACCACACAGCCCTACCACCACACCACCACACAGCCCAGTACACACCCCACAACACCACAGTACACCACACACAGCCCTACACACCACAGTAACACACACACTACCCTACACACCACCACAGTAACACCACCACACACACACCTACCAGTACACCACCACACAGCCCTACACACACCAGTAACACCACCACACAGCCCTAGACACCACAGTAACAGCACCACACAGCCCTACACACCACAGTAACACCACCACACAGCCCTACACACACCAGTAACACCACCACACAGCACTACACACCCCAGTAACACCACCACACAGCCCTAGACACCCCAGTAACACCACCACACAGCCCTACACACCACAGTAACACCACCACACAGCCCTAGACACCCCAGTAACACCACCACACAGCCCTACACACCACAGTAACACCACCACACAGCCCTAGACACCCCAGTAACACCACCACACAGCCCTACACACCACAGTAACACCACCACACAGCCCTACACACCCCAGTAACACCACCACACAGCCCTACACACCACAGTAACACCACCACACAGCCCTACACACCACAGTAACACCACCACACACCCCTACACACCCCAGTAACACCACCACACAGCCCTACACACACCGGTAACACCACCACACAGCCCTAGACACCACAGTAACACCACCACACAGCCCTACACACCACAGTAACACCACCACACAGCCCTACACACACCAGTAACACCACCACACAGCCCTACACACCCAAGTAACACCACCACACAGCCCTAGACACCCCAGTAACACCACCACACAGCCCTACACACCACAGTAACACCACCACACTGCCCTACACACCCCAGTAACACCACCACACAGCCCTACACACCCCAGTAA